GGATTTACCGAATGGATATATGAGGAGATTGCCAGGAGGAAATTATGTCAGGATAGGTGACCACACACACGTTTCTGTTCTTGATCTCCTTTATTCTGATCAGGTTAGACGTCCGACTTATTCGGCGTCTGTACAACGACTTTCTTATTCAAACGGATCTTCTTCCTCGTAACTCAATGGTCCAATCAGGGGTTAGAATATATCCCTGTGGCCCAACGACCAATCACATCGCAGTTAACTGCGATGGCGGACACTAGCGCAGTTGCTTCGTCGTGGCATTAGGTTTAAACAAGGAGGAATAGGGATTAATAACCATAGATTCCTTACAGCTCGGCCATTCTGCAATGTCATTCGTCTCGGATGATAATCTTGAAACGCTTTGCGTAAACTTGAACTTTTTGTCGCATTAACAAAATAAATATACGCACTATCTCGTGTCTTTGGAGTGACAGTCTTTTACAAAATCACAGTATGATTCGATGGACCTTAATTATAAATTTAATATTACATAGAAATTAATATTTCACGAAGACTTAAAAGTTCCTATTGGTAATAACAAAATAATCTTACTTTCCGTGGTCTTGGGATAGATTTCAAACTTATTTTTCCTTAAAATATTAATGCAATTAGCTCAACGTTTAAACTTAAATAAAGGAAAAATTCTCATAAGTTAGACTTTCTCATTTTGAATAATCAGAGACAATATAAATCTAAAAAAAAAATAATAAGAACAGCAAATAATTCTTAAGAGATCTCAGGTCTCGCTCAAGCCTTAATCCTGTCCGGGGATAAAATTGAATTATACGGTCCCGGCGACAGATTATGTCCGGGAATGTCCCTAATGACATATCGATTACTTGACAATACTTTGTGTATTATGTACGGACCTTTATAATCCGGTTTAAGCTTACGACTCTCTCCCGGTTTTAACGCAGTGGACCTAATACCTACGAAATCGCCTACCTTGTATTTCGATGGTGTCTTATGTCTCTTATCATAATAGATTTTATTATAGTCCTTAACCTTTTGAGTAGCTTCTATTGCTAATTTACGCCTAATGTCTCTATCGCTATCAAATACGCCGTCAGCTACTGCTAACTTAGTAAGTGTCTCCACAAAATCATGATCAGCATGATTTCTCAAATCATAACCTAATAATAGTTTGGACGGAGTTGAACCGATCGATGAATGTACCGTGTTATTTATAACATATTGTATAAATGGCACTTTATCGGCCCACTCAGAAGATTTATTAATTACCTTTTTTAGCGATGATTTTAGGAATCTGTTGACACACTCGACCATTCCATTAGCCCAAGGGGCTGCCACAGCTACTAGTCTGTGCTGAATGTTTCGGGAACGGAGGAAGTCTGCAAACTCGGCTGAAGTAAACGCGGTACCGCGATCAGAAACTAACTATTTCGGATTTCCGAAAATATCAAATAGTGAATTTAGATGCTTAATCGTTTCTTGTGAAGTTGTTGATTTTACCGCGAATAACCAAACGAATCTGGTAAAGGAGTCTATAATAACTAATATATGTTTTAAACCCTTAACGGAGTCTGATATTGGACCGAAGTGATCCACGTGTATAGTGTTCAGAGGGGTATCCGGTGCGGGCGTAATTTGCAGCTCTCCTTCATTCTTATTAGAAGTGGCATTAGCCATTATACAGACAAGACAATTTTCTACGTATCTTTTAATTCTACGTCGCATAGAGGAAAACCAATAGTTTGTCTTGATACCATAGAATGTTTTCTTTGCTCCGCAATGCGCTGAGTCATCATGATAGATGCGCAATATATTATGTACCATCGCATCTGGTATTACAAATTTAGGACTCTCCGGTTCTTTTCGATAAACTAAACCGTTAATTAACACAAATTTTTTATGTTCTGTTTTTTCAAGTTGCTTAGCTAATTCTTGTATACGAGGGTCAGCCAACTGGCGATATTGTAATTTTTGACAGATTGGCATCGCCTCTACCGAAAACACAATCTGACTTAAAGCATCGACATGCTTCATTTTTTCACCGCCGCGGTGCTCTATTTTAAAAGTATAATTCTGAAGTCTTAAAATCCAGCGGGCTACACGTGGATTGATATTCGCTTTATTCACTGCACCCACAAGTGCATTGCAATCGGTAACCACTTTAAATTCTATTCCCGCTAGGTAAATATGAAACCTTTCTGTGGACTTTACAATTGCTAGCATTTCTAGCTCAAAAGAGTGGTACCTACTTTCGGCTTCGTTGGTAGCTTGACTAAAATAAGCTACCAGTGCTAATAAGCCCAAATCCTGCTTTTGTAATAATATTGCCGCTATTGCTACGGCGCTCGCATCCGTGTGGAGTTCTGTTGGCAAATTCGGCCGGTAGAGTCTTAGGATTGGATAGGACATGAGTGCTGATTTTAAATCCTCAAAAGATTTCATACAGTCACTATTGAACTGGAACTCTACATTCTTTTTTAACAAATGATGTAGTGGTTTGGCCTTAGTTGCAAAATCTGCAATAAATCTTCTAAAATAATTGATCAATCCTAAAAATCTTTGTACTTGTACAACCGAATTAGGAACCGGGAAGCGCTTTACTGCTTCGACATGCCGATCACTTAGAGTAATGCCTGACTCCGAAATGATGTAACCTAAATATTCCACGGAGCGCTTTAGGAATTTACATTTACTAAAATTAATTACGAACTCGTATTGCCTAAGTAACTGCATTACTAGTTGGAGAGTTTCCAAGTTTTCTTCAACAATTAGCGAGGGAATGAAGATGTCATCCATATAGACCAGGACTTTGTCTTTCCGAATTAATGGTTGCAAAATATAATTGATTCTTTTTTGAAATTCGGCAGGAGCCTCGCTAAACCCGAAGGGTAAGCGCAGATACTCAAACTGCCCATCTGGTGTGGCAAAAGCAAAATATTTAGTGCTGTCTGGATGAATAGCTATTAGGTGAAATCCATCTTTTAAATCTAATAAAGTGAAAACTTTTTTATCTCCGAGTCTAGAGAGATAATCCTCTATCACCGGAAAGGGATACTTTTGTTTCCATCCAATGATCACTCGATCATTTAGTGGTCTCAAATCGACGCAGAGTCTACGAGTACCGTTCCTTTTTTTCACAAGAACTACACGAGCACAGTAAGGAGAGGTACTCGGTTTGATTATATCACGAGCTAGCAAGTCATCGGTTATCCTCCTTAATTCTTCGTGCTCAGTAAATGCAAATCTACGCGGTGCATACGTGTAAACTGAATCGTCTTTTAATTTTACTTTCACATTATAATCATCTTTGATTAATTCAACAGGAGAATTTTGGGTTTCCTTAATTATTGCATGCAGTTTTTGATTGACTTGTGACCCAAAATCTGTAACGAAATCCGAAGTTTCGACTTCTTCGTCTTTTATGACTTCTGAAATTTGAACGGACGCTACTTCGTTAAAGAGTCGCACTCGATTTTCTAGCTCTGAAGCTGATGGCTTATCTAACTAGCGTTAGATTGTTCATATCAAGAAAATCTCTACCTAAAATAATAGGAATTTGACCGGTTAGACTATCTATAACTTTTAGTTTTACACGATTAATTGAGTTTGGTAACACATCTAGCATTATCTCGGCATTTATCGTGCCAAGGATATTAATTTTACTATCGGCGATCGTGCAATATGAATTTTCTTCATCCTTTACGTATTCGATATTTTGCCCGAGAATTTTTCTGATATAATTTTCTCCTGGCAATCTCCTCATATATCCATTCGGTAAATCCGACGATAATCCCGAAAGGAAAGTAAATCCTTACAGAATTTTCAGAAGTGGGATATACCCATGGTTCTGACCACACACAATATCACGCTCTTAAGCGTTCTCCCGCAACCGCGTGTGCAACGGTTCGCGTTTGTCGGCCATCAAGGCCTATCGCGCTGTTTAGCGCTATCCCGCGACCGCGTGTGCAACGATCCGCGTTCGTCGGCCATCAAGGCCCTTCACGCTCTTAAGCGTTCTCCCGCGACCGCGAGTGATACGGTCCGCGTTCGTCGGCCATCAAGGCCCTTCACACTCTTAAGCGTTTTCCCGCGACCGCGAGTGAAACGGTCCGCGTTCAACGGTCATTAAGGCTCCCCACGCTCTTAAACGTTCTCCCGCGACCGCGAGTGATACGATTCGTAGGCCATTAAAGCCTATCATTTGATTCGAACAAAGGAAACGGCGGTTGACCGCCAAAACTTCAGCCATTGTTCCTAGCGGTTCCCGCGCTTTTACAGTGTTTTTGCGCGCGTTATTGGTCGCCATCTTGGACGCGATCAATGGAAGCTGAGCTCATTGGTGTTCACGTGTGATATACATACCACGCCATAACCTCGCAGTAAAGTATCTCTTCGGAAAATGGATCGCCAAACCCTGGAATCGATGAAGTATGAGCAATTGAGAGACAACTTATTAGTTTGGATCTTCCAGTGACCAGTTCTCGTGAGGAGTGTCTCAAACGTCTAATGGCTCATTACGATCTCAATGACGAGAATAATCTTCAGGTCGGTTCCGGTGAACAATCTGCTGTATCAGAATCAGCGTCTAACACCAATCAAGCAATTCTGGGTCTTACTCAGATAATGCGCGAGATGTCGATGCAATTACAAATTCTCACGCGTCAACAGAATTTATTTATGCGATCTACGGAAGACCGAGGAAGAACAACCAGTTCCGATATCGGGATCCCTTCGAGCCAATTGGGGCCGATATCTCATCAACCAATACAGAATGAGACATCGCTGTCTGCATCCGACACACGCTCTGCTCCGGGCAGAAGCACCAGAGTTTTTCCAGGTACGCCAACATTAGCAACAGTACCAACAGCACAGGCAATTACTGTGTTAGCTTCTCAAATCCCCACGTTCGACGGATCCGAGGAAGAAG